TGGGAATAAAATATATGGTTGAAAGCACACAAACAAAGAAATCATAAAAAGCGTAATAATGAATACGAAAATGCAAAAAAGCCCCAAGAACCGTCGGACCACATTAGCATACAAGGAATGACAATGAAGGGAGTCTACAGGATGAGGGGCTGATGGCGCAAGGGACAGGACTAAATGGAGGATCCAAGGGGCCAAGGCAGTTGCAAATGCCAGGGGTTAGTTCGCTCGCGTTACGTATACGCAGCGTGAACACAAAAAATTACGAATAGTCACGTAGCAAAAGTAAATTCAACCCTCCTCATTTCACAAAGCTGTGAGTGCGCCTTTATATCCTTGCTGGTACATTTCTGTGTGCATATGGACGACTATTGTTAGCCATTTTAATAATTGCTGGGACAATTCTCGGCTACTAAACTCACCCTCATATACTTGTGGTCAGCTGAAATGTCATCCAAGGCAATGGGTAATAGAAAAAAAACACTCTACTGTCGGGCCATAAACTAGCCACTCGTTGAGGCGAGTATGGCGACCAGAGGGGTTGCAATATTAAAATTCAACAGTTGCATATGCAAATAGTTTCGGAAATCTCACATATTTGCTTTTAATTTTGCCATCCTTGCATAGTCATGCTTTTATATGCCTTTAATGGGTTTATAAAACTTTTGATGTAAAAAAGTAGAAAAAATCGTTAAAGGCATAATTTAAAAAAATATTTTTATTGTATTTAAGAATCATGAAAATTCCCTAAAGCACCTTAACACTTCTTTTCAACACTTTTTTTCGATCCACAGAAAAACTATTTTATTTGTTCTGCTTCCTCCGTGGCTGATACACTTTGTTATTCAAACACTAAAGCTGACAACTACCCAAGCCCCGGGGAAATCTGGCTTAAAAACTGCCTTAATTTCCAATTCAAAAACCAAACAAATTAAAAAAAGTAAAAACTGCTCTATTGATACAATGGATTATATTCGCAGAGAACTTTTTTATTTTTTAAGCTTGAGTTATTTAAAATTTAAATATCTTTTTATTATTAAGCAACATTAGCAACCCTTTTTTTAAATAAGTTCACTAGATGACTAAAGCCAATATTGGTAAAATATCAAAGATAAAACTTGACTAACTTTACCACTAAAAGTTTCTTTTCCACTTCTCAAGTATCGAATTCAATCCCGTTTTCAAGGACCAACTTTAATGAAAGTTCGAAAGCGGTTTCTGTTTGAAAATGCCATTCTATAAACTTGAATGGAGTATTTATAAAACAAAGGACCAACATCCATTATTCTAAAGTGAAAAGTTGAATTTGGTTTATTGCTTGTTATAGTGTTTGGTAAATTATATTTTATGTATGCGTATTCCCCCTGGCTTATAAAGGAAAGGAAACCTGTAGACATGAGCTCATTAATTCGCTTATTTAAAAATTCAGTGCAGGTGCGTGCGGAAATTAAAATTTAACAGAGAATGTGCGAAAATTTTGCTTAAGCACTTAAGTAGGTGTTTAAGTGCCCGAGGGGAAACCCAACACCAAAAGTTAATGCTAATGTTTCGGCGTCGGTGTTTTGCCTGATGTGTGGCTGCTAAGACAAAGTTTGCCTTCTGTCACCTGTGTGATTTTTCAAGGGTTAAGGTGGGCACGTGGTGGGGGTGATGAGTCTGCGGGATGCCTGTTTTCTGTGGGCATCGTTTTCATTGTGCAAATATTTAAGAATTGCGGAAATCTCTGACACACGCTTCCTCCCGGCTTATCTGACAAGTGTTGTTTCAAACGATGAGGTTTTTCTTGTTTTTATTTGTTTGGAGACTGGGTGGGCTTATCTAATTAGGTTAATCGCCTCTCGTACAAGGGAAGCTTAGAACTTCGGTATTCCTAACTTTAATAAAATTTAAAAAATATATGATAGAGCACTTTAAAGTTTCCTGGAATGATGCCTATACCTACACTATGTCCTCTTCATGCTAGCCCTTTTTTAATGAAACCCTGAATAAAATGAATGAATGTCTTTTTGGGAAGATTAAAACAAAAAAAGGAAAGCTTACTTCGTGTGGAGCCGAAGTGGATATACCCTTGCAGTTATAATCCAGGTTATTTTACAAGATAATATTGGTTATGTCCATATCGCGAAAATATCGTATATAGTTGGCCATCGGACTTTCTGTATCAAAACGATTTCTTTCAAATTAAAAGTTCCAATATAAATTTTAAAAAAATTGTTTTGCTTTTTTCTCCACAAACAACGTTATGGCATTCACGATTAAGTTTTTACTTTTATAAAAACTATAAGATAACGTACAAAAATTAAAAAAAAAAAAAACAAAAGTAAAAAAAAAAAATATTGCAACAAAATAACACAACAAAAACAGCAAATTTTTTATTTTATACATTTGACCGATCCGGACCGAAAGGAATGTGCGCTAAGTTTTAATTCTATAGCCTTAACACTGAGAGTCTAGTTGGCGTAGAAACAGAAACTCGGACCTTCCTTATATCAGGAAGGACATCCTTATATCAACTCCATCGGGGATGTCATCTCTAATGCGTTGCACACTTTTGACCAAAATTATCATACCTTCTGCAAGAGTATAAATAAAATGCAGCTCCCCTGCGGTCGTGTTTGTGGTTTTTCCGATAATGGTACTGACAGCACTTGAGTTGATAAGTAATCCCCGCCAGACTGCAGCCGTCACTTATTCCCAAGCGCTTTTTTCAGGTTCTCTGCATCAAAAGACGGTAAGGAATATTGCTCATTGACATATACTTTTATTTATACAGTGTTTTCTCCAACTTTTTGCCGAATAAAGGAATAATTTCTGCAGCATTGAGGACTTGGTGTCCAAATGTCCTCGGAGTAAGTAAGTCTTTAAAAAATGGACATTTCCAATTCCATTGAGAAATAAACTGAAAAGGTGAACTCGTAATTAAATCTCCATTTCTCAGACGTCGAATATTTATTTCTTTGGGGAATGTAGTATTATTTTTCTTTTGATGAAAGAAACTTCTTTTGTTTAGCAAAGCCTTCCATAAACGAAATTCCCCAGAAGCCATTTAATTAGGAATTTATTGTAAATATTTGGCAATATTATGTTTTTCTAATGTATTTTTCCGGAATTTTCCTCAGAAGAAAATAGGTAGTTCTATTTGATTGAGAAAAATCAGATGATTCACCACTCTTGCTTTGAAGCCGAAAACATATAATTTCGGCATAAAAGGTAGACTGGCACGCCGTCTGGCATCCAAAAAAGTTAAACCTAAAAACGAAGGCAAATATGGTTTATGGCCGGCAGCAAAAAAAATTTCAAATGCACTAAAAGACATAAACAAACAACCAAAAAAAAACGAAAGCGACAACAATTTGCCAACTTTTGTAATTGGCAGGAGACAAGCCAAACAGAAAGAGACATGGACGGAAGGAGTGAACCAGACAAGTTAAAATGAAAAATTCGAACAGTTTGCTTTTAGTTTGATGCAACAGCCAACAAAAAAGGGAAGTAAAAGCCATAAGACAGCAATCAGGCCCAGGCGACCAGGGCAACAGAAGCAACTTAAAATGTCCTGCCCCTTCCATGTGCCTGTGTGGTCGGCAGCCTTAGGAGCTGGCCAGCTTGTTGTGGCTTAAAATGCAGATTCCCAACTTGACCACCAAGTACGGGCATGTATTATATTCTCTGTGTGAGCTGTCCCAAAAACCGAGCTCATTATTCATCCCCGGTTGAGTAAAATTAATTTGCATGGCCAACCGCTGTAACCAACTTGGTAGCTAAAAGAAGTTTGTGGCTTTTAAAATTTTGAAATGAACTATGAAGTCAGTCTACATTGAAAAGTAATTAAAGATATTAAGATGGGAATCCGAAATCCTGAAACATATACTCAGTGCTACCAATTATCCTGGATAATCACATTCCCAAATGTATACAACAATTTGTCTTGTCTACGTCTACTTTCGTTTATAAAGTCCTTGATTACTTACAAGAATTCGTTTTTTGAGAGTCATAAATATAGCCAAGTACTTACATCTGTCTATACAAGATAAATGATTATATTTTTTGCCTCAAGTATTTTTTCGTTAAATTACTCCATAAACATATGTATGCTGTGTTTTTTTTTACATATTTTAAAGTATCTGTTAAAATTACTTTAAGTGATAAATAAAAAATAGTGAAACCATTGTGGAGAAGACATTGTAACATGTTGACTTTAGTTGAATAATTCAGCCGAAAGCTGAAGGGGTAGCATGTAAATCCAGTAAGCCCTTGTCGCTTACATATGAAGATAAAAATGATAATTTAAATATGTATTCTTTTGTAAAAAAAATATAAAACTCCTGGATTTACCCATGAAAAATTATATACTTTAGATTTTAAAGTATGTACAGATACATTTTGATTTCAAAAAATTTAAATAAAAGTATCTTTTGTTCTTGATAAACTCACCACAATGTAAACAGCCAAAATTAAAAATAGAGGAGCAAAAACAAACCAAACACAGAAGGCTGAATTCCAAGCTAAACAATCCACGGAAAGTACAAATATAAACAGTTCACTCAATTAAGTTCCAGAACATGGTCCATATTATAGAATGTACTGGTGAGCTTACTCATGGATCTATTTTCAAAAGTGCCGGTAATCTGATTCAATACTTCAATAATTTCAGCATTGAATATTTGCTTATGGCACTATTATTTACAAAATATTTAGTTATTAATTAAGTTAAGTTCAAAAGTTCAAAAATCAACAATATGAAATTTTAAAATTATTATAATATGTTTTTTAAATATGTACATATATGTATGTCTTTATAATATTTTCAAATATCTTGGTTATTAAAACTACTGCTGTCGCCGTATGGGTTAATTTTGTTTTCATTCACTCGGCGTTTTTCGTGCGCAGACTCTCCGATTTTCCGACTTTTCTGGCAGAGCCGTCAGCGTCGCTGCTCCAGTTGCTGCCTCGGTCGACGTAACTGCCACTGTGCTCCATGGGCAAACTTTCAGTTCTCATGCGGCTTTCATCGGAACAGCAACGCGGCGTACCAAATCGGAAAAGGATATATCGGAGTGACTAAACGCTGAAATACGTAAAGGACTCAAATCAGACACGTGGGTGTGAAAAAACAGGCTAACAATCGCCATTACAATTACAAATACAATAAGCAGTGGCATAGTAATGAATGTTCGTGAAAGTAGAAAGCGAAAGTAACAAGTCCTTGGGTGTGAGTGCTTTTGTGTGTATTAAAGGTGCCAGAGTTCCAAGGCTTGGAATAAAATTTACGCTACCATTGGGGGTCCTATAGGACTACCCTTTTTTTTTTAGTTTAGAGCAATTAAGTTGTTCATGCCTTCACGCACACGAAACCACACACTCGCCAGGCACAACTTGTTTTATTTGCGGACATTTTAACCCACAATTACGCGCGTGCTTAAATTTAACCCAGATCCGAGGTGGAAATATTTTCAAAACTTCAAAACGGAATAGACCCATGTCAGATAGACTCCAATTATAATTTATGCTTTTTCTTTGATTTTCCTAGTGAATATCTTTATATGAACTTAACTCCACGAACATTATCGAAAGGATTTCATTCAAATCAAAAGATTAAATCGCTAAATTGAATGATTAATGTAAGTATTGATTCGAATGAAACAAAGCACCCCTTAAGATGGCCCAGATATACTGTAATTAAATAAAATAGATTGCCATTTAGGACGTGCCCGGCAACACTTAATTAGCCAAAGCCTTATCTTCACGAAAATTCAATAAGAGAAACCTTCGAAAATCCATTCAAACAGTGGTCCATACAATTGGCTTGAGATATTTTGTCCTCTGATTTCTGTTAATCAATTTTGGGAACTCTTCCTGAATTCCATTAAAGCTGTCTTTCAACCTTGGCTCCCGCACAGACGCATATTTAATTAGCTGGCAATTCGTCAACGAATTCCTCGGTCTTTGTTTACCTTTGGCAGTGCAATTTGTGCCAAACATAAAGGGAAGTGCATGAGCGCACACGAAAAAAAAGAAATAAGGCGGCAATAAACAATAAAAATAAAACAATAAAAAGCCCCAAAAACTCGACAAAATGGCCTGGAAAAGCAGGCAACATTATCGTACCGGTGGTAACGATGGGCCCGAAAGGGGAGCCGCATAAATGGCGAAATAACGAGGGCAAAGGCGACAATGGGCGGGAGCAGAGGGGCGTGGAAAAACGTCCTGGAAAATCCATGTGAAAGTTGATGCGCTACAGAAGCCATCGCAAATGTCGTGCGTTAGTGTTGCGGCAGGGCCATTTAGTTGGGACCGGCGTCACATTACGTATACGCAGTGTGCACGAAAATTACCGACAGTCACGTACCAAAGCAAATTCCAACTCCACGCTTTCAGTATAAACGTGTGGCATGTACTTGCACATGTGAGGGGTGTGTAGATGTATGTATGTGCGTGAGGCTTATCAACCATCATAATAATTGTTTGGGGCAATTTTGCTGCCAAGTCCAGCCAAGGTCCCTTCGCGTCCATTCCGGCATTCGACAGGAATAATTACACACACATTTGGCTGTCATAAAAACCAAATTTGTTGAAATGTTTCAGCCGAAATGACAGCACAAAACATTTACAACATTTTGTTTATTTTCCCCTTCCATCATCCACAAGTCGCCTGAATTTGAATGTCAGCCTGCATATTTGTTCTTGAAATTTGGCATTTGGCAAAACATGAAATGTCATAATTCAAAATTGGAAATTCTACGTGATTTGCAGTTCGAAATGGTCTTTGTTTGAAATAGTAAGTTCTACCAAAAAATGAAAATGAGCTTAAAAAATGAGTTTTTAAGTTGCAAGTTAAAGAAAACTTTTTGTATTTATTATAATTTTTCGGCTTTATAAATCTGCAAAAGGCCGACGGCTAAGCATTTAACTTGTTTTCATATCCAAAAAAATAAAAAAACAAAAAAACTCATGCATATAATTTTGTTTCGTTGTATTTCATTCTGGAACTCAATTCAAGTTTTCATCTCGCTCGTAATAAAATTTGAATTTCATAAAAGCAAACAAAAAACAAACAAGCAGTAGAGAGTGTGGTTGGTGTGTTGCCTTCCCTTCGCCTGCCGCCTTGTTCGAGGAAGTAAGTAAGAATTTCGTGCTTGGCTAGGAAAATTTATGGCTATTGGTTTCACACAAAACATGCACGAGACACTGGAGTTGGCGGCTTATGTCGTCCTTGGGAACACGCGACGTATGCGCAACATACGTATACAAACGAATATTTCGTTTGATGAATATGCTTTCAATGGTTTTAATTTGCCAAAGAAAACACAAAAATCTAACAGCAAATTTAATTCCAACTTTAATTTACATATTCAACAACATTTTGGCGTTTTCCCAAAATATCTAGCTTCAAACAGAGCTTCAGACGCGAATATCCTTTCTCTTATTATTATCTTGTCTGAATTACTAATTCACTTTGGATTCTCTTCTCGCAACAGGGTATGATATTTTAAATATTAAAACGGAAGCAGGTTAAAAGTGGGGGCCCACAAAAAAAAAACCCATCCTATCCGAGCCAAACCTTTTCTCTTCCCTGGTCTGGCTTTTCTCCTTACAATTGCCCTTGCGTCCTTTTTTTTCCTCCTATGGGGTTTCCCACCAGCTGCGGCAATAATCACGAATTGTAATAAAAGTCACAGTGTGTTTCACACAGTTCTTTTATGAGTATGTGCTACTGGAGCTTTATTTCTATCGTTAAACTACCATTTCTGGCAATATGCGAGAAGCATGATAAAAAAAATAATATTTCAGTAACATTTAAAAAATGATTTTCAATAAAATTATAGTAAAATAATATAGTAAGTGAAGTCATGTACATAAAACTTTTTTTTCAACCACTCACCCTTGCAAATCACGCTTAAACTCCAACACTCTAACAAGGAATTTTAAGCAAAACAAAGCCAAAGCATCCCTTGGCCTACGATAACCGTTGGTCAGTTTATTTGCCATTCTTCCATTTCTGGTTTATAGCCTGAAAATCTCTTTCTATGAGGACCTGCCATTACTCAAAAGGACGCACACGCATACTGAGGCAGGATTCCATGTCCTCTCGTTAGATACATTGCGGCACGTGATGTAAGCAGACCTCGGCCATCGAGTAGCAGAAGCCCATCTGGCACATTGCCATTATTAATGATGCATTTGGCATGACTTGGTTAGGAATTTTTGAGATTTTGTTCCGTATTTGATAGGAATATAGAAGAATATCTATCATACGCTTAAAAATAGAAAGGATTTAAATATTTTCTACCGTCAAAAAATTATAGGAATTGGATGATTATTGGCAAAAATGTAGTTTGGCCCCTAGGGCCATCGAATGAAGAATCGGATGAATATCGGCAAAGCCTTCGGAATAGCCTTCGCAAGGGTCCGTTTAGTGCTTCCACGAATTTTCCCCAATTTTGAAGAAGATCCTCCACAAAATTTGACAAAAAATGGGAAAATTATTTCGTTCTTATATTTTTATGCAGATTGGTGGAGAATCGATTTACAAATCATGTAAGGTATTCCGGTCAAGAATCGGAAATATTGGCAAACATATGCCCTTCGCTATGGTCCACTTGGTGTATCTATGCATTTTCCCCAGTTTTGAAGGGGATCTCCACAAAATTTGACAAAAAGTCTAAAAAATATTATGTTTTTAGATTTTGATCGTTTAAGATTGTTTAAGGGATCAGAGGATTCCGCTCAAGAATCAGATGAATATTGGCAAAGATATGGCCTAGGGTCAATTTAGTGCATCTATGGATTTTCCCCAATTTTGAAGGGGATCCTTCACAAAATTTAAAAAAAAACAAAACATTTTTTTTTTAAATTTGTATTTAGATTAAACGAGAGTTGATTGAAAAATCCTTTAATGTATTCCGCTCAAGAACCGCATGGTGAATGGCAAAGATAAAGCCTTTGCGGCAGGCCATAGCGTTATTCCTTGCACTTTCCTCATTTTTTGAAGAGGATCGACCTTTACAGACCTGCAGTCGATAAAGCTCTCATCCGAAAATCCTTTACGCCGCTTCGGGGACCCCAAACCAAACATCACGTATACGCAATGGTGTTTGCCCGCTGGCAGCGAAATACTTTGTTATCCTCTTTTCTGCACACTCCGTGCTGATGCGCTCTTTGCCCGCGTAATTGTGCGTGCCAACGACAACAAAGAGACCAGACGCGGACAGGATATATCCCTTTATTTCCTTTAGTCCTAGGACTACACAGCCCCCGCACCGAAATTGGCCAACTTCTGCAGGGCTTCTGTGCGGGCTGAAGGACCTTTAACAGGACACTGGTAATTGAATATTGAGAATGTGGTATAAGCTTTTTTCATTACTGAATGGGTTCGCTTTCCGTTCAACCATCGGCGACACACTTTCTCTCTCTATATAATCATATCGATTTTCACCCAATCAATGACAACAAGTGCGACCCAATCGTCAATTTCAGACCCTTTTATTGCCCGTCTGATCCCTCGACGGGTTGTGTTACTGCCTTTGATGGCTTCTTATGGAGGATAATCATGTTTGCATTGCATTCAATCAGCGTCTTAGTTGCAAATGGCCCAGCTTCGTATAATGCAGATCTCTGTTTGTTGCATTAAGCCCGGCATTTCAAATGAATTTGATCTTAATGGAAATGTCCGATGGCGTCGTTTACCTTTTAAATTTCGTTCATACAGAATGGTGACAACTTTATTTCATTTCCTTCCTAGACTACTTTCATTTAGTATGTAAATTTCTGTTGGACAAAGAAAAATGGGGACTTAAGTCGCGAACATTAATGGAGCACTAGCTCCACCAGCCCCATTTTTAAACAAAGTATTTGACATTTATTTGTCGCTGATTTTCCTCCTGGGCCGCTAATAGAGTCACTTGCGTGTGGCCAAGGAAGTGGCCCATTAAAGATGAAAAATTGTTGACAAATGAAGAGTTAGCAGTGGACTCAAGTGCCTTGTCAGGAGCCTACTTTAAATGGGTACCTGTCCGGTGTAGAGCATTATGCAAATTAGATGAAAGGTAACGGAGTAGCGGAAGGTACTACCCTGACGTCATTGTGTTAAAAAAAGGAC